CCGGGCTCGATGAATGGGAGTCAATTCGATCGTAATGCGGATGCGTTTGCTCGACAATGCGTTGACACATGCTCGCCGATGAATTATTGGACTCTCGGAGATTAGAAATTTAATGGAACTTAATTTACCGTGCTGGGCGATTCTCGCAGCTCTTCTGTTGCTCCGCTTATTACAATCGGCGATGCGTTAATCGTTAGACGATAGTTTATTAAGTGGAATTCCGTAGCTCGGATTATCATATAGAATGACAAATACCTTTAGAAATTTAATGTATGGATCATTCTATCTTCGATAGCTTGAGAATTCAATTTGAATCCTATCGAGGTGCAATCTAAGTGAAATATTTACCTGTAATTTTAGTGGAACTTATGTAAGATGTAACGTTAATTGATATACTTCCAGCGTTGCGATTGCTTCAGAGATTAAAACGATGCGTATAATTACGTGCGCAGGTGTTGGCGATCGGTCATATCGCACTGGTTCCGACACGGAAGGCGCCGCGACCACCGACAACCCGACAACACCATTCCCAACGCCGCCGCCAACCTTGACGCCGAATCATCGGCAGGCATCACCGTTCCCTCTGGAAAGCACCAATTCTCGCCGGCATCATTACAACGGGAGCATATCATCGGAGAGATCCCGCAACGGCAACGGTACGGAGTTAATTAGAGCCGCGAGCGGATTCCGCTCACCCGCGCCCCGGATCATACTCTCGTGAACGCCGCAAGACGAATCCCCCGTTGTTACAACGCGTTACGTTACCGCGACTACCGCCAGGGTTTGATTAATCCAAGCGAAACGGTCGCCCGTTGCTTCGAAATAACATTTGTGCAGCCGTGTCTCCGTTTCCCGTAAATATTAACTATCCGCTCCTATCGGCGGCGGCTGATATTACGCCCGGAAACAACGCTGCGATCGCGACGGAGCAGGAAACGCGTGGTAAAAGCATATTTCCAATCGCTCGAAGACGTCTCGTCGCAAGGACCTTTGATTTTCGAGGGATCTACGCGTCGCGCGTGCATTTAGCTTCACTTTGCCCGCTGAATGTTCCAGAGAATACATTACAAACTCAGTATTCCTTGAAAATACGCTAAAATTATAATAGATTTTGCCATATTTTCTTCTGCGAAGAATCAAGCTTCAATTCCGATGAAATATTTCTACTTGTTGCAAGCGCGAGTCTGGCAAGAAACATTGATCCCCTTTATTCTGTAATCTCGACGAACCTTCAACTAACTCCTCGCGAGGCGAGCCTGTCTCCTTGTAAGTGTCCTCTCCATTTTAATGGAGGCGACTGAGAAATTCTCTATGTCGATGTCGCGGCGTTTACGAATTTTTGCGAGCCTCTCGGGCAATGTTTCCTTTTAAGGGATCGCCCCGGCGAAATTTCCCGAGGACGACGTTTTTGAAGAGGCATTTCAAAAATTCTGATGGCTTCCAGGCGAAACGGTGTACGCGGCGCCGTCCAAAAAGACGAACACCGGCGGTGGGACCTTAGGGCGAAGAACTCGGCGAGGTCACGCAAGCGCTTTGAGCAGCAGCTCGACGGCGAGCGACCGTTCCGAGACCGTCTTCCCCGACGAGCACTCTCGCATGCATCTCACCAATGGTAAGCCGACGCGTGTCTGCCACCGATTTCACCCCCGCTTGTCATTCCCCGCCCGCGCCCATTTTTCACGCGCATCCCGCGCCGACGGTCGGGTTCATCGGGCTTTTTGTTTCCTTTCGCACCGCATGCAGTTCACTTTCGCATCCATCCCCCGGCGACGGTATCGAATTTTCCCGTGATTTTACCGCGTAATTATCCGACAAAACAACGAGCCCGTCGGAACGGACGTGTATCCCGATGCACGGCCGGCGGACCGCTCTGCCCCGGCTAAATTCATCGATCGCCGTGAACGACCTGCACCGACCGACCAAGCGACCGACCGACCAAGCGACCGACCTACCGACCGACCGACCGACCGGTCCTGGAAATCACAACGTAAAATTTCCCCGCGAAGCGATAAGTTAACGATCCGTGCCTCAAATACGATTACCGGACTAACAAGATTACCGGCTGGTATCGAGCCCCTGGCCGGAGCTAAATCAGGTTTCGTGTAAACGTGTGCCTCGTTAAAAGCTTAATATTAATAGTCAGTCCCTTACCGATACCCAGCGAGGATCTTCGGTTTTGCTCGGCCATTGTTCCGCCGTGTATTTCCCGCTAACGTGGCGATTTTTTAAGGAAATATTCATCGCGGATACTTATTCGCCCGTCAGTTTCAATTGTTCGATCGATACTCGAGAAATAGAATCCGCCAACTATAGAAACTCTACCAACGGTAAGGATTTAATGTCGACAAACAGGGTCATCTTCGAATTGGACGTAACGCCGAGCGTCAACCGCTGCCGTCCGACTATAAAAAGCCTCTTCTCCGTAAGGCATGGAATGAACTTAATCGAGGGTGAAAAAAGTTTCCCTAAGAGCGGATTCAGCTGCGTTCCTCGCCGAAGCGGTGCTCGAATTCTCTCTGGTAGTCGCGCATCGTCGCGGGCTAAACGCGGGACAATTAAATCCGAATTTCTGAGGCGGGCCGATCCTCTGCCGTGGCTGCGCACGTTCCGGCGCGGTAATTGCGATGCTGCGAGGAACGGCCGAGGGCGAAGTGATCTTAAGCAAAGGCAAACGTTTCAGACGCCGCGTCGCGGCGGCGGTGGCTTGGCCTTATCCATGCTAACAGCGGCGTAATCGGCAAACTACCTTATGCGTCGGCTCGTTAAATAACCAGAGAACTCTCTCTCTCTCGGTTTTGGGAGCTAAGTTCATTGTCGTCGAATCCGAGCCACGTCGCCGGCCGGTGGATGTAACCGTTGACGGCCGGGGTTGGTAACGACGCGGCGGCCGCCGGCCCCCGACCGCCGAAATGGGGCGGCTAAACGGACAAAGAGGTCGAAAGTGGGCGGCGATGGTGGCCGGTGGGAAGACGCGGGTGACGAAGGTGAAAAGGACAACGCCGGCAAAGAGTGGAGGGACGAGGAGAGCGAGCGAGCGAGCCGCCGAGAGAAGCGAAGAGAGCCCGGGACGGTAACCGAGTTAGTAGTTGGTAGCCGGG